ATCCAAAAGGGCGCTAGGTGACTAGAAGGGTGGTGAAGCTTCACGTAAGGGTGGCACTGGCCATCTCGGGCCACCCCTTGGCTCTGCCCCTGTGTAGTAGCTTCCAAATTACGGAAAACTCTCCCCAAGCCTATATAGGATGCCTCCTCTCTATCTTTATTTAAATCTTTGTTAAAAACGTACTTGTTTTCACTGTGTTCTCAGTGCTTTGTCTGTACTTGAATGTTAAATCTATTATGTCCTTATGCTTCTATCAATCAATCAAACTTTATTTTGACTTGAAAGTTCTTTGGTTCTTCCTTGGAAGTTGAACTCTTGGTGCAGAGTCTGTCTGGCCTCACGGCCTTCAGACATGACTGTGTTGTCAAGACTGTAAATAGTGTGTTTGCACTTCATTAAAGAACTCCAGAGCTTACTTAGAGGAATCCGAGCAGTGATTTGTGGTGTACCCCATCCTTCATGTCCTTCACATCCTTCACAAGCACTTCTTGTGCTTCTTCCAGTCTCACCACAATAATAAACATTCAACCTCAATATTCTTCTATTTATGTAAGTATGTGAGGTTTTTATTGCTGAGACTCTGAAGTGATGTGGGTTGTGTATGTCCTGGATTATGAACCCCTTTATTATTGTGCTTAAACAAAAATAGGAGAGTGAGGGAGCAATTTGAGTGGCAGCTCCTGTGACTCAGGCCTGATTAAACCCAGCGCTGCCATACAAAGATAAGAACTGACTGCTGGGGAAGCTAACACGCTAATCAGAGCTAACTGAGAGAACAGCTGCAGGTCAATGTAACTAAATGAGCAAATCTTCATGAGATATAAAGTGTGAGTCAGCAGAGTTAAACTGACAGAACAGTGACTCACTGGGTCTGATTTAAAGGGTTTGAAGGGCTAAACAAAGGCTCAATCTGCACTCATTTCATAATCAGGGAAAAGAAAAGCACAGCATCATCATGCCTTTCACACATTGTTAATTTATTTATTAGAAACACCTGCCTTGTGCTTATACTAACTGGCCACTTTATTAGAAACACCCACCTTGTGCTTCCACATACTGGCCACTTTATTAGAAACACCTACCTTGTGCTTGCACTAACTGGCCACTTTAGTAGAAACACTCACCCTAATGCTTCCATTACTGGCCACTTTATTAGAAACACTCACCCTAATGCTTCCATTACTGGCCACTTTATTAAAAATACCCACCCTGTGCTTCCACTAAATGGCCACTTTATTAGAAACACCCACCTTGTGCTTCCACAAACTGGTCACTTTATTAGAAACACCCACTCTGTGTTTCACTCCCTGGACACTTTATTAGAAACACCTACCTTCTGCTTGCACTAACTGGCTACTTTATTAGAAACATCCACCCTGTTCTTCCACTCACTGGCCACTTTATTAGAAACACCCACTTTGTGTTTCACTCCCTGGCCACTTTATGAGAAACACTCACGCTGTGTTTTTGTCAACCACCCACAAGACAAACACACATTAATTTGACTTGGCTGTTTGCTCTGGATCAGCTCTGGTCTGCTGGCAGCTTCTTCTTCAGAGCGACCTTTTGTTCTACAAACGCAGCCACAAGTAGAGCGTTTAATTTCACAGGAGGGAAGAACAGAAGAAATGAAGGAGGAGATGAACACAGACTGCAGAACTCTACAGAAACGCTATAATCTGTCTATCAACGGCTGACCTTACACGGCAGAATTTTCATGCAACTAGTCCCAGTGTGCAAATATATTTTCTGTTTTCAAAGTTGCCTTTGTGAGAAAGATCTATAGTAACACTGCAGTTGTCTAGGAATTCTACAGGTACAGAGTTCTATTACAGTCTTCTAGGAATTCTAGAGCATTTATGTTCCAAACAAGTTACTCTGGAATCCCAGAGCTTTAGAGTTCCACAAGAGTCTTTTGGGAATTCTAGAGCTTTAGAGCTCCAAACAAGTCTTTTAAGAACTCGAGAGCTTTAGAATTCCAAACGAGCCCTTCAGGGATTCCAAATCTTTCAGAAGCTTCAAACTCTTTGAGTTCCACAACAGTCCTTTTTTAGGATTTACAGAACTTTGGAGTTCCACAAGAGGAAGTCGTTTAGGAAGTTTCTGACTTTATAATTCCACAAGAGTCTTACAGGAATTTAAAAATGTAGAACTCCTTAAGATTCCTCTGGAAGATTCTAGAGCTTTAAAGTTCCAAAAGAGCCTTTCATGAATTCTTGAGCTTCAGAATTGCCCAAAAGTATTTCAGAAATTCCAAAATTACAGAGTTCCAAAAGAGTCTTTCAGGAATTCTGTCTTTGAGGAACTCCAGACCTTTAGAGTTCCACAACAGTGTTTTAGTAAGTTTAGCATTTTAAGCATCTCAAGAGTCTTTCAGGAATTCTAGAGCTTTAGAGTTCCCCAAGAGTATTTCAGGAATACCACAGCTTTAGAGTATTTTAGAGATTTGAATTCAGATTTATTATTTTTGAGTTTCTTAAGAATCCTCTGAAAATTCTAGAGGTTTACAGTTCCAGAAGAGTCTATCAGGAAATCCAGATATTCAGAGTTCCACAATAGTCTTTGAGGAATCCATAGTCTGTGGAATACAGTTCCACGGCAGCTTTTCTAGTCATGTAAATGCTGTAAAATGTCTTCATAAAAAAAAACATAAAAGCATCATGCAGCTGCTGAATTGAGTCATTTTTCAAATCCTCTGCAGAGAAGGAACAGCTTGTTGTGAGAAGTTTTTTTTCTCGGGGCCTCCAGATAATGAACGGCTTCCTGAGTGAACTCGCTCTGCGCAGCAGACGTAAACAATCTGTATGCTTTTTTCCCTTTACATGTTCATGTACAGCTCAGTTTTCCATCATGAAAAACCACTGGAATCTTCTAGAGCAGCGGAGTGGAGCTCAGCCGCTGGGAGCGTGGGGTCTTGTGTAATGCTGCAGTGAATCTGCTCCGTCAGCAGAGAAGGGTTTCACTCAGAGGAACTATGAGAGAAGAATGAGTGGAAACTATTTTCCGGGGTCACCATTAAGGAAAACAGCAGAAGACAACCAGAAACTACCAGAGGCACGGAGAGCAGGTCCACACCCTGAATACAGCGGGCAGACCTCCTGACCTCGGCCCCCTCACCCAGCTTCAAAATGGCTTACAGCTCAGACTCACCATTCAGATCACAAACCAGCTCATCTCTAACAGACCAATCAGACTCACTGAGATTAATTAGCCTGTAATTAATTACAGTGATTAAAGAGCAGCTAATAAACCAAACACTGACTGTCATATGTTCATCTACACCTCAGTAGAGGTGGGTAGCAATTACTTACATTTACTCGTAAGTACATGTACGTCAGTAAAATACTGATGGATCTGTACTCTGCTCACTATTTTCAAATGTACTCCTACTAAAGTATATGAGTTTGTAAAGGCAGTGTGTGAAATCCCCCCTGGTATTCAGGGGTCCCATTTGCTGCAGCACATTGTAAAGTTTTTCAGAGGAATCCAGGCAGAGTTACAGTTTCTAGACTATAAAGGACCAACTGGGTGAACCAGTCTGCTACAGCGCCACCCTTAAGAACACCAAAGACAGAAGCTGATTGTGGGTGAAGCAGATAAACAATGAGCTTCACTGAATCTGTATTTGAGCATCTGTTTAACTCTAACAGACATCATAACATCATAATAAGTTTGTGTTTTTTTTTCAGGGACCCCCAGAATCTAGATTTTGAGACATTCAGGGGGGCCAAGAGGTTACTTTGGGGATTCTGGACCCCATACGTATTTCATGCCTTGATTAAAGGAATCAAAAGGAACTTTTTACTTCCATTTTAGCCATTCACATTTTGGTACTAATTCTTTTTTGTGTTTAATTTCATTCTGTTTTTTTTTGCTGTACTGCTTTCTAATTGGTCACTTCTCTCACTTTGGAGCTTTAGTATTTTATTTTAGATCAAAAAATCCACAAATTAGAAAAACTAGACCCGTACAGTCTTCCTGTGTTCCTGTGTGTTTGGTGTTTAGGGAAATCCGGAGCTGAGCTCCGTCTACTGCTGTGTTCATTTAACTCTACTTTGATCAGAGACCTGCTCACTAAAACTGAAACTGAAACTAAGCTAAATCTGCTACTTTTCAGAAAATAAAAACTAAACTAAAACTACTGATGTACTCTCATGACTAAATGGAACTGAACATTTGTCATTTCCAGTGTAGATATTCTGAAGACTTTGCTGCATGATGCAGCACTACACAGTGTTAGAGTTCCAAACAAATCTTTTTGGAATTCCCCAGATTTGGGGTTCCACAGGATTCTTTGGAATGGGAATCCCATCCAAGTGGAGAATTCCAAAGTGACTGATTCATTCATTCATTCATTTATTTGCCACGACATGCCAGTGGTAATTGTAGCTGGTGCATCAAGATGTAATACAACCCCATATAGAGTAAACAGTGTGCAATACAATATGCATTATACAACATTTAGTGTGGGTGAATCACATACTCTGTATGTATGTATATATATACAGAGTGTATATGTGATAAAAGGTTCAGAAATTTGGAGAAAACTGGAGTGATGTGAACAGGAAAGTGAAACAGGCTCTCTGAGACTAAAAGAGAGGAAACTGAAAATGATTCATTTCAGTGAGTTCAATAACTTTGCAAAGTCATATCAGTCTTGCATTGGCCACATTTTAGTATCATTATTATTATTATTATTATTATTATATGACAGCAATATTGCAAGTGTGAAAATCGACAAAATCATTTTTTATTATTTGTCCAAACTTTTGCATGCACTCTGAATGTCATGAGCGCAGTGAGAATCTGTGCAGTGACTCAGTAAAGTGTGTCCCACACAGGGCTTTATTATATGGCCCAGCTGACTGCATCAGTGATGAGTGACAACAGCGAGCCTCAAAGCAGGGGGCGGGGAAAGGGGCGGGAGCACGAGAGAATCTCAGTGTCAGAAGGCGCGGAAGCTCCTCCCCTCGTGATTATAAGGAGGCAGAGTAGAGCACGCCGTTCAGAGGGGAGGTTTAGCACGCGCCCGAGCTCAGAGTCCACCAGCAAGGATGACCGCAGCTGTGGCCGCTCATTTTCTCGACTGCGAGGGGCAGAATAAGGTACTGAACTTTTGAAGCTGATCCTGTTTCGTGGAGAAAGTCGGAACTGTCTGTTCCACCTTAAATGGTGTCATTCTGGCATCTGAGGAAAGTTGTATTCGAACTTTAACTGCTGCACCATTTAAGGTGGAACGAAAAGTTCGTAGAAGAAGCCAACTTTCCTCCGGCGGCAGTTGAGGTGGAACAGACAGTTCGTGTCAAAGAGTTTGGACGCGAATAAGCGCTTTGATCAATAATCATCGATTACTGATCGATTACAACGTAGCAGCTCCATTTTTCGTAGTTTTTGGGCTGCAGATCGGTGATCGGTGCTCCATTGAGACTGTCTTAACTTCACTGCTTACTCAGCTCACACTAAATAACTAACATCAACTCATATAATGTTCTTAAATAAACTCTACAGGCTGTACGAACGACCTCACAGTGGAGATTAGGGGAGTATAGTTAGATATTTGATTAATTCACACTTACCTTAAGAAAAAGAATCCATGGATTTATGTGTTTGTGTGTAGCTGTTGATATTTGGATTATAACTGTTACATTGGACTCTGTAGTAAAGATCAGTACAGTGTAATATAGTATTTTATAGTAGTAATAACAGTAATAACAGCTGTGTGAAATGCAGGTCAGAGTGCTTTTTAAATGAAACACTAAGGGTGCATGAAATTAAAGGAATAAGTCTGTTTTTAATACAAATTAAAAACGTTAAAGGGATTATGAATGCAGGCCAGCTTTAAAATACAAAACTAATAAAGTGTTAAACTAAGTAAGAATGTTTTCAGATGGCTTCTTAAACTAGTTAGAGTAGGTGCATGATGAATATTAATAAGTAAAGTTTTCTATATCCTTCATTCTGGGAATGTATGGTGTAGTACAGTATAATACAGTACAGTAAAGTATAGGGATGGCAAGGCTGGTTTATTTGTATAGCACCTTTCATACACAGTGGCAATTCAAAGTGCTTCACATAAAGAACATTCCTGAGATCTAAAACCTCAGAAAGGTTCTTGTGGGGATAGTTATAATTAAAAGAAAGTTGCAAAAAATACAAAGAAATGCAACTGTGATTTCACTCGAGTCATTTTCAGAACCCTGAGTGAGGACGAGCACCAAAAGTTACTGCTTTTACTGCCGAATATCAGCCATAACTGAACATAATCTTACTTTGACGTGACACCAACCTCTAAAGTTTTAAAACCTCCAAATAGTTGATGAAGCATAGGTGAACATTTAGATGTCATATGAATAAATTAAATTCAAAATTACATACATTGGATTAAAACAAAGGACATAAGAGTTATAAAATTGGACAAAAGCATAACTAGAAGAAAGTGAAACATCAAAAACATACACTTAAGAGTTATAAAATCAGCTTATAGAAGGTACAGTGCAGTATAAATACATTAAATTTCAAGCAAATGTGATATTTGACATTGTACAGTGTTATTTGAAAGAATATATACTCAGTATCTTACTACAGATAGTATTCACAAAACTGACCATATTATTGACATAGTGTGTGTGAGCAGTCAGTCCCATCTATGACCTCCAAACCATGACATGAAGAAACAGTCGGTTTGATCAGAGATGTTGATCCGCATCAAATCAATAAGTTATCTTTGAGTCCTGATTAACATCTAGAATTACCTAAAATACTGCAGCAGTGTTCACATCACAGGAGATAAAAGCACAAATCACTAGAATCATGTAATATCTGGTCAGTGGAGGGATATTCTTCTTTACCAAGAGTGAGTAACAGCTGCATATCTGTGTTTAACCCCTTAAAATCTCAGTCTTATTACACACTAAGTCTTATTATTCAGTAACTACAGGGACTTCAATGCTAACTGTCTGAGCTTAGGTGTGTGATAAAACTTTGGGCCTGCTGGTGTGCTCTGGACATTTAAGGGGTTAATCAATGTTGTGTTAGTTTGTGTGAGCCTTGCTAACGTTCACACTTTAACTGCACTGATTGTCGAGCTAAAGCAGAAGAGATCTAGACGTAGTTAGACTGCATCAATCAGTGTGAGTGATCAGTGGTGAGCGATTCTCAGCTCTGTAAGATGGCCAGAGCTCCTCCTCCTGCTGTGTCAGACTGATGAGATCAGACTCTGGTAGCGTTTTGGGGAGAGCCTGAAAGTTCCTCCTTTTTATTCTCTCTGTTGAAGATTTCTCCTCGGCATTAGGAGTTACCATTACTGGTTTCTCATGGTCCATTTTCAGCAAGGATAGAAACTGATAAAATTTCTGTCATTTCTATTGTTTTATTACTAACACTGTACAAACAGTGGCTCTACAGTGTGGCGTCAGATGAATACTACCTGTAACTGTACTGTAGTTACATTACATTAACTCTTATCCAGGGCAGCTTACCAAAGGCCTGTTGCAATTATTGCATAATTGCTTAATCGCGGTTATTTAAGCTGCAGTCGTTTTCCACAGTCATTAGATTTCAGTCTGTTGTGCTGCAGCAAAACTGTGTATGTTCTATTGAGGCAAATAAATGTAAATAGAAGAATGCAGTGAACACGTTCACTGAGAGATCATGAGGCTGATGAGGAAAGCAAAAAAGTTGGTGCACTAGAGGGCAGCACTGAGTATGGTTTGTTTGTCAGCTATGTAGATTCTGTTGTTTTTAGCATGTATGCTAGCAGAACAAGTGATTATATTTTCACTGTGGGAAAGAGAAAGAGACTCTACACAGGATTCTGTGAATCTCTAGACGTTTTTGAGAGTGTGAGCACAGTACTAATTATTGGACAGTACAGTCAGTGTTAGCTAAGCATAGCTAGCAAGTAATAAGGCTAATGAGCTGATTTGGCCACTTCAGGCTTGTATTTTAATACCCTGCTGAAAAAAGAGAGACCACTAGTGTCCTGTAGGACACCTTTGGATTGCATTAGGAGACCATCAAATTATTCTAGAATCAGTCCCAGAATTATTAGGCCATTACACTGTATTACAACATTAGAGTCAACCCATCTATATCATTTCTGACTACTGGACACAATCAGGAACCAATAGAAGCTATTAATGGTTTCTGTTTTTTCAGCAGGGCAAACAATGAAGAAGAAAAGACCATTATTTTGTTAATCATAATTATTTATATGACAGTTAATCCTCAGCTAAAGTATCATGATTGTGACAGGCCTAATGTACAGATAAAGGTGAATGTAGAGTTAGAAGTCTTGCCCAAGGACTCTTATAAGTGTAGCATGTCCTGCTGAAAAGACCAGCCTGAATTCCAATTCTATACTGGTTTAGCTGGTTTAGCTATAGCCAGGATTAATACACCACTTTTTCCTGATTCTCTTCTGGTCCATTCTGTGCTGGTTGGCTCTAGTCTGCAGATTTTGAGACAGTTGTTTTGGACAGTTGGGAAGCAAATCAAGCAGTGTTTGAGGGACTCCTGATCATGATTCGGTGTGTTTTCACACTAGAGCTTTTTTCTAGATCCAGGTGCACTTGGTCTGTGAGTTTGGTACGTTTGGTTGAGTGTGAAAGCTGTATTCAAGCCTAGGAGCGGAACAGAGAACCGATCTCTGGTCCTCCCGAAGTTGGTGGTCTGGAGGAGCTCTGGTGGGTCCGCTGCGAGTGTCGAAGCTATCCGCTCCCGGCGCCACATGTGGGGCTGCATAATAGTTCATTTTGTAACATGACAGTTTTGATTTGCCTTTCGAGTGTTGCGATGGGGAAGAGGACTGCTGTGGACAAAAAGAGCTACTCTTCACTCCTTCAGTGTTTCTATCCAAGGAAAATGATAAAAAGCTGCAAATGAGTAAAGCTGTGCTGACCATTCTGCAAACCTGCATGCAGAAAAGTGAAATATGGAATTGTGCAGTCGATCCCCAATTCAGCTGGAATTCTTGTGTGTGAAAACAAACCAGTGATAATGAGCTCCTCCCCACAATGAGCCCAGAATCAGTCCTGGGTGCGGGTATTTGGGACAAGTGTGAAAACACCCTCAGAACAGTCATTTCTATACAAAAGCAGTTGATGTTTTAGCTGTAGCTGAAATGCAGGCTGGCAGGCTGTAGTTATGTAATAACTCAGCTCACCCCTGCCCTTAGTGCACACCTGGCCTGGAGCCTGGCGGCAGGTGATGATGCACCTTTCACCTTTCTCAAATGGCTTTATGACCAGCTGACCCTGGTGTTCTAAGAGTGAAGTTTAAGGACAGAGTCTAACAGCGATTATTACTGCAATTCACCACTTACTGTTATCAATAAAAATTAATAAAAGTATAAAACACTATAACAGTGAGTCATACAGAGTCAGAAGCCAAATAATCATCACTATTAGGCCCGATTCACACATAATGTGTCTATGTGGCGTGAGCGGATAGTCTTGCCTTTCATTTCGGCACCAATTTTAACTGGTCAGCACTTTCACTCAGGCTGCATGTGCGAAGCGACAGAGCGTCCCAGATGCCGCACTAAAGTGGCGCGGTGTTTAGAGAACAGACTCAGCGTTTATTCTTCCCGCGTGCACATCACACAGCAAAATACGCAAATATATGCCATGAAAATCAATTAAAATTAAATAGAAAACTGTATACAAACTTAAAAATGCTATTTTCAAAATTTAATTCATGACGAAATACTGGTTGAACATAATGTGCTGCGAACAGATTTCCTGGTTGGTCTACCAGACTTGAAAATTTTGTCTAATTACAAGTCTGAATGCTGTTGAGGACAAACAAACATACCGTGCACCTTTATAAATTATATTTTTATTGAGCATAGTGACTGAAGTGACCATTTACAGGAAACAGGAATGTCTGTATAATGTTCTTGCTGCTCCACTCCGCAGCCAAAATGCTGTGTGTATGAAAGGCCAGCTCGTTCAAGCTGTAGCATTCAGGTTGCCACGTCGCTCACGCCATGCAGAGGTAGCATGTGTGAATTAGACCTTAGAGATACTGAACACCGCCACACGCTTCGAGGAGAGTGATGATTTAGGCCTGCAGTTAGCACGATGCTAATTGATGCTTCCATTACTTGTTAGCTACCAGGAACACTGGAAAATGGGGGGGGGCTGAGGGGGCTGCAGCACTCCCTGATTTCAGGATTGCAATAAAGTAATAAAATGTTGTGAACTTTATAGTAATTTGAGTGTAGTGTAGATTTCAAGTGTGCTTGTTTTAGAGTGGAACTTTTTTTGCTCAGGCAGGTTGAGGTGCAAAGAGAGACAGCAGCATAATATTGTTTTCAGTCCCAGTGTTAAATCTCACCGCGTGAATGTTGGCATCACATAATCGATCCCCACACCACATATTAACAATCTGATTAGTTGCCATTTGCATTACATCTAGAACAGAGCAGAGTGATGATGTGCGTCACATCAGCAGTTTGATGCGTCAGTTAGATGTATATATTGTGGCCTCATTATAGCGCTCTATAGTATGTTCTTTTTGGTATAAATTAGCAAAAAAGTCTAATGAAAAAAGGAAAATAATTTTGCATGACATCATCGGTCATACAGCTTCCACTTTCAGCTACGCTAAACTTAAAACACCTTGCTGCAACCCTGTTAGCTACATTAGCCTCTTCAGACACTAAACATGTCTTGGCTGATTGACTACATTTTGTAGAAAGAGAGGATAAATTGCTGGAGTTGGATTATCACTTTAATAAATACTGCAACAGTACACTCTCAGAAATAAAGGTACTAAACTGTCACTGGGGCAGTACTTCTCCCGATACTGGGGTGGGACCCTCAAGGGCACATCTCAGTACCTTTAGTCAGGGAACATAACTGTACCGTAATCCATTGAAATTATATTTTCTAAGTTGTATTAACTCCACACTTCCCTTCTCGTCTCCAGGCTTTTATTTATTGTTCTGTTTTAAAGCATTAGGTTATGAAAAGGTACAAATATGTACTTTTCACCTGGAAAAACTTAGGTAAGGTTCACAATTGGACCTAAAAACCAGTGTTGTACCTTTGAGGGAACATTTACATTGTTTGTACCCTGACAAACGAAAAATGTACCTGAACAGAACCTATATTTCTATCAGTATAGCTCCAGTTCTGATAAAGGAGTGAAGATTGCTGTGTTGGACAGAGGAGTATAAAGCAGGTTGGAGTTTAAGGTCAGATACTGAGTAATGCTGAGTAATTACATGTTTACTATGTTGTCTTGTTACATTTGGCACCACATTGTTAGATCATTTGCGGCTCTGCTCAGAGGGTGACTATCGTTTTCCTGCTTTAACACCAGAGGTGAAAACTCAGCTGCACAGACTTGATCACAAATTCTAAAGGACTCGTAGTTTTCTGAGTGTTTTGAAATGGTGGTACTTTTACTGATATTAGTGAGGGAAGTCATCTACTTTTCCTCAGTTAAATTTTAGTCATAAATATTTAGTATCTAATTCTCTCTTTTGGGTTTAATTTTGTTCTGTTGTGCTGGTTCAGCTGCTGTTCTGCTTCACTTTTGATCTCTGGAGCTTTAGTTTTAGGCATAAACATTTATAAACTGGGACTAAATTCTGGAATAGCATTACAGATAAATATAACATGTATTAGTGTAGAGATATAAAAGCAGTAAAATGAATGAAATTTTAGTGCAGTAACCCAGCATCACCTAAACACTCTGCTCTTCTGGGGTTCAACACAATCATATATTAGACTTATCTGGCAAATATGAACACAGCACTGATACGTTTTTTAGGCAAATATTTGATATGATTCCAGACACCTCCAGGGTCAGAGTTGAGAACTAATGGCTGAATCCCCCGTGCTACAGGTGATAGAGTTGAGATTTAAGGACAGATTCTCTCCTGATCCAAACTAAGGCCATGTGATTTGGACAAAATGCTAGCAGTGTGATTGTACAGCTACATGTGACGTGATATTGTTTTCAGTCCCAGTCCCATAAAATACACTCGTCCACACTACAGGATAATCAGGCCGATTTTGAGGCCAGTTTGTTCTTGCCAACAATCGCAGAAGGTCTCCTGATATCAGGGTGATCTTAAACAATGACTTTCCCAGATGATCCTGTGCTGTGGGGTGTCTATAATCCAGTCTTTACTCCTCTGATCTGCTCCCAGTCAATTCAGGGCCACCCCAAATCATAAACATTAAACATGTTCAGTATTTACGGCTCAGTGTCCAATGGTTTGGGGTGGACGCAAAGTCTCTGGAGTGAAACATGATGTTGATGTCATACCTGGAAGAGGTATGAGAGCCAAACTGAATGAGCTGAACACTTTTTCTGTGCACAGCCACCCTGTCATCTGCCATTTTTATTTAGATCTAAAGTGATGAAAAAACCTGTGACGTAACAGTTTGTGGGAAACCCCCGCAAGGTTTTGAGCCGTTGGTCAGGATGCACAGTCTGACCAGGGTGTTTCCTTCCTTCCACACACTGGATGCTGTGATAGTCATTCCGTGACCCAGGAGGATAAAGCGGTTCAGATGAATTGAATGAATGCGTGTTGTTTCATTCAGGGCGGACTTTGATGATTAATGACAATCAAGGACAAAAAAAGTGAAAAATATCATTATGTATGGGGTCTCTCACATGGTTAGGATTTTTATAATCCTGTAGTGTGGGCCAGGCATGATGTGACTGGCCTGCAGTACTTTAACCCTCTGGGGTCTGAGGGCATTTTCTCAATTTGTGCATATCTTCTTAAATTCTCCTTTAAAGGCTCTTCATATAAGATGATACTCATATGTTTCACCAGCTTCTCATATGAATTTTCCATTCCACCTTAAATGGTGCTGCAGTTGTACTGAGGTGTCTTAAATGTAGAATGAATTTCAAACAGGAAGCTCTGAATATGAAGCCAACAGTTCATCTCAATAAATCCATAAATTTACCTCAGTAAATAAATGTAAATGCTCCTTAATCAACAAACCCCTCAAACTTTCTCTTGTAAGTGTTTAATGAGCAGCTAACGAGCAGCACAGCAGAGCAGCTGTTGAACGCGTCTCACTGGCCGATCTAACACCGCGTCCCAAACCACACACTTCTGTACTTCACCTACTGCACTAATGAGAGCACTTCTAATGGGATGTGCACTATTTTTACACACTATTTAGTGAGCTAGTATGCGATTTAGGGTGGGCGCTAGTAACACAGCAGGAAAAAGCCTCAGCCTTTTAGTTATCACTACAGCAAAAAACAGATAAAATAAACAAATATATCAGTTAATACACTTAAACTTAAAATTAGTTTTAAACTGATTGTTCCAAAAAAAAGGATGATTTACTACCTTTGCTGGATCAGTTATATCTTTGTTGTCTCATAATAAACTACTGCACCCTGGAGTTGCCTACCAAAATGGTGGCAGTGCGATGGTGTGATGTCATTGGAATACTATAAATTTCATTGCGTCCAGTGGTAAAGGTTACATGGTGATAGGAAACATGGCAGCAAGGGCACACGACATGACAAAAGGCTCACCAGCTATACGTTAGGTTTGACAGAGTTAACTGTTGTCAGATGAAGGAATGACAGAACATATTGTATTGTCAGAGAGTGGCGATGAGTTTCAGTAATCTTCTCTCTTTTGCTTTTCTTTTAGAGCAGTAAAGTGCTGAGCTTCGGCAGTGAGCCCCAGGTGGACCCCCTGCCCTTCTCCTCCGCCATGGGTCCCCTGCTGGACAGGAAAGTAGGCGGAGCCTCTGTAGCGGGTCTTCATCAGCGCCGTCATTCTGTTTCCACTCCCATCTCCAAATTCAGCCAGCTCTCCAGCAGTCTCAGGATGGATCCGCTGACCCTCCCCATCGGTGGGAACAACAAGGAGAACCGTTTCCGAGAGCGTTCGTACTCCGAAAATGGGGAGCGGCAGAAGCTAAGCTGCATCACAGCCGGCCAGATCAACTCCAGCCGCTACAAGACTGAGCTTTGCCGGCCGTTTGAAGAGAACGGCTCGTGTAAGTATGGCGATAAGTGCCAGTTTGCTCACGGGCAGCACGAGCTACGCAGCCTGAGTCGCCACCCCAAGTACAAGACGGAGCTTTGCCGCACTTTTCACACCATTGGCTTCTGTCCATACGGCCCGCGCTGCCACTTCATCCACAATGCAGAAGAACGCCGCGGACCTCCTCCGCTCTCCAGCTTTAATAAACCGGAGCGTCCGCGGCTCCAGCACAGCTGCAGCTTCGCCGGCTTCCCCAGCTCGGCCGGGTTCTCCCGCAGCCCCACCTCCCGCACACCCCCGCATTTGACCTCCACCGAAGACCTGACCAAGTGGCCCAGGAACCCCTTCAACATCTCCAGCCAGGATTTTGGTGGTCTTTTTGGGCAAGGCTTAGCCAGGCCTTTGGCCCTGGAGCTGCCCCCACCCTCGCCCACCATCCCCTCCTTCTTTAGGCCCTCAGAGTCCCCTCCAAGTCCAGTGGACTCCCTTTCTGACCATGAGGGCTACCAGAGCAGCCTTGGCAGCCTCAGTGGATCAGAGTCTCCGGTGCTGGATGCCACCCGCAGACTCCCCATTTTTAGCAGGCTGTCAGTTTCTGATGATTAGGGCAAGATAGCTATAAAGAGAAAGACTGGCTGTGTCTCAAATGACTCCCTCCTGTGTCTCAAATGACTCCCTCCTTACTCACTATGGTCACTAGAAAGCCAAATAGTGCACTATATGTACACTATAGAACCTGCATAGTGCACTGTGTCTACATAAGTCTGTTTGTACACTATAGACCCTGTAGAGTGCTATATGTCCACTATAGTGCTCGTAAAGTGTACTATATGTCCACTATCGTGCTCATATAGAGCACTCTGTGTCCACTATAGAGCCTGTGTAGTGCACTATATGTCCACTGTAGTGACTGTATAGTGCACTATATGTCCACTGTAGTACTCCTATAGTGAAGTATATCCTCTACAAAGCCTGTGTAGTTCACTATGTCCACTATAGTGCCTGTATAGTGCACTATATGTCCATTGTAGTGCCTTTATAGTGCAGTGTATGTCCATTATAGTGCTTGTATAGTGCACTATGTCCTCTACAAAGCCTGTGTAGTTCACTATGTCCACTATAGAGCCTGTATAGTGCTCTATATGTCCATTGTAGTGCCTTTATAGTGCAGTGTATGTCCATTATAGTGCTTGTATAGTGCACTATGTCCTCTACAAAGCCTGTGTAGTTCACTATTCCACTGTAGAGCGTGTATAGGGCAATAAATGTCTGCTACAGTCTGCACAGTGCACTTTATACACGCTTATTTACACTTAGAGCCCACAGAGTGCACAGTAAGTCGACCGTAGAGCATCTATAGTGCACTATATATACACTAAAGAGCCTGTGTAGTGCACTATATGTCCACGCTACAGCCTGTGTAGTGAGTGAAGGAGAAATTTGAGATTTAGCCAGTTAGTGCTAAATCAGAGAAAGCAGAGAAAGAGCGATTGCCTCCCTCCATCCTTCCCCCTCTCTCTCAGAGTTGTTTACAGTAGAGAAGTGGACGGAGAAGTGCAGTGTTTTTATAGCCACTGATTCAAAAAGTCCTGAATTCCTTCAGTAGCACTGACTCCCACCTCACATACCCAACAGTGCACTCATCTTCTAATGGACAGTATGTAACTGAGGTTGCTACCTATGTTAAAATCAAAAGCCACTCACTCTTTTTTGATATGATCAGCCAAAATAGAGAAGTGCACTGCCCGTTAAAGATTTTGGAGCAGCTGGCTTTTCAAAATGGTCCTGTTTATTTTGTCGGTTTCCAATAGTGTAACATATTAAATAGAAATATGTTTAGATTTTGCCAAAAATAAGAAAGAAGCCAAAGGCCACGCCCATTTTATCGTCATGTCATGATGTCACCTCAAAATCTTTCAGGTTGTTTAAACCACATTTGCACCAACAACAACAGCAAGAAAATTCAAAATTCAGAATTCTTGGTTTTAAAGAAATCTAAAAATTTCAGAATTCCCAGCACAAGGAATTTTTAAATATTGAAATGTCTCCAAACCTTTGATAGGCTATGTGCACGTCAGGGTCAGATCATTTGTGCCCCAGTGTTGTAGCAATGCTGTCCATCAGCGCTGACAGTTCACAGAAGAGCCTTGGGAGCAGTCAGCTTCCCCACATCAGTGACCTCAGCTTCGTCACCGTTAGAAACAGCCCAAACAGTGACTGGCCAACACGCAAAGTGCCAGATTTTTGTGCTACTTTTTTTTGTTCATAATTAAAAATAAGTGTAATGGTGCTACATCCACTGCCACCATGGTAACAGTCCCGAAAACATGTGACGCCGTCTGCTAGACTTCAGCTAAAGAGAGATGAGAAATTACAGTTTTTTTGATTCCTGCTTTATTGGAATGTCTCTTTTCCTGCAATCAGTTGGGTTCAGTGCTAATTAATTCCACGTATTAGTATTAATATTAGTACTACAGCATTTGTTATTATTGTGTATATATATATATATATATATATTTATATATATATATATATATATATAATTTTTTTTTTGGAATGTCTCGCTCGTCACTGCTTATTTAACTTATCAAAATGTATTTATTGCTGATTGTAAGCATTTGTTTTTTTTATTTATCTGAATAATGAAAGCAGAATATATTTTCTTTATGTTAAATTATGATCTTCCGTATTAATCATTAAGATTGTGAAGACCTTCTTTTCTTAAGTTTCCACAGTTAATATATTATACTGCGACACATTGTTGAAATTTAACTTAAAGAAAAGTGCAAAATGTTTGTGTTTTATTTATTATTCTCCTCTCTGGTGTTGGACTGCAGTTTCAGGGCTCGTTTTTTAATGTCTGATTCTCTTTATTGTGTCCAGATTGAGTGGTCATGCAGAATGTCACCTTATTCCTGTAGTCGGTTAAACTACAGTGTTTCGATTGGGAGCCTCAAAGCAGGGCTTGGCGATATGACACTATATGTAGTTATTGTGATAAATTATTGCACAATATGCTTTTCTGAACGTATTGTGTGTATCTTCAGTACTTGTAGACACGGACCAACTGCATGATTCATTATAAGGAGTTAGTTAAATGAGAATTAGTTAATTTAACTGGATTTAGTGACAAATATTGAATAAAAGTCACTGCGTTCCCAGTTTTTGATAGTATTTAGGTTCTGTTCAAGCTGATCAGATGTCTGAAAAATAAACACCATGACATATCGTGTATTGTGAAAATGTCTTGAAGTATCATAATATGATATTTTTGCCATGTCGCCCAGCTCTACCTCAAAGTGCACTTTTTTCCTCATATTTGGCCAGAACAAATCACCAAAACTCCATATTAACCTAACCTCGCTTGAGTCCTCAGCGCTTTAACCAGCTGCAATCAGACGTTTGCGTCTAAATTAGACGTTGAATGAGGGAAATGCAGTAAATGCTCCTGTGTGTGTTCATTCCGAGGCAGTGCTTTTTTTTGCTTCAGCTATTCAGGGGCCTTAATTCCATAAATGCCTCTCATGTTTGATTTGTTTTGACCCAGAGAGGTGATTTTGTTATTATTTTTGTGTGTTTCCACATTTCAGACCAGCACGTTTACTATACTCTTAACCCTCCTGTTATGTTTAAATGTGAGGAACAGCAGGGTTCCCGGGTCAGACTGACATGACGCATGTTTGCCTATCTGAAAGTAAACACTGTCTTTAGCTCAATTAGTATCAATTTAATCAACATTTGGTGTAATCAAGTCTTTCATCTCTTAAAGATCATGCTTTACTTATAATAATTCACTCTGTTTTCAAGTAAAAATAATCAAACTTTTTTTCTGTACACCAGCAACACCTAGACATTCTTATTTAGACTTATTTAGGCTCTAAAAACTATTAAAAACACTTTGCCTGTATTTCTAAACTTTAAAACGTTTGACCCACAACATAACAGCAGGGTTAAAAATATGGTTCTTTAGTAAAGGAAATTGTTCTATTTAGAACTATTAGTTCTATATAGAATTATTTGTATGCTTAAAAGTTCTTTGCTTGGTGAAACCAATCTTCAGATTGATGAAGAATGTGTTGTATTTGGTTCTATATAGCACCATAAAGAGTTCTGCAGTTATGATGTCAACCTTGTATATAATAGCAGAACCCTGTTTAGCGCTATATAGAGCCCTTTTTGAAACGGCTCTGTATAGCACCAAATACCACACATTCTCCTTCAATCTGAAAAACCATTTCACCATGCAAAGAGCCACTTAAACATGGAAATGGTTCTATATAGAACCATGGTACCATTGTCTTTACTAAAGAAACCTTGAAGAACCATCTTTTTTAAGTGTGTACCACAGCATTCCAAGTGAGATTGGAATAAACTCTGAAGTTATCAGGATTGTAACTGTTTAACTGAACGTGTCACTATTTTAGCAGCAGCTCACTACAGCAATCCATACTGTTTGTTTTGTAACGATGCACATTGCAGTCTTATACTAATAAAAATATATATTTCCAGAATGAATGGATCTTTTTTCTGTCTTTTTTCTGCAGATGTGACATCAGCTCAGCACATGTCCATCTAAAAATAAGGCCTGTTTGTGCTGATGTGCTGGAGTTTTGCCTCCAGATGCTCTTCAGGCGCAAGTTATATTTGGCCAGGCCTGAAAGCACACTGACACGCTCATTACATACAGGACAATTCCACCAGTGTCTCAAAATTCCCCCATAACTCAGTGTGTGAGGTGTAAACAGAGTGATTCAGAGTGGTTTGGTGTGAAAAGGTTCAGATTTCTTTACAGTGGTGGTGATAGGAACCAGGGGACGCCATGACTACAACACAAATAAAGCTATTTTATTTACTATCCAAAACCACCAGTGAACCTACACGAGTCTTCTGAGTTTATATGGAATGTTGGTGATGGGAAGATAGTGGAAAATCTGAAATAATAAGTTTTCTTTGGGGATTATTTTGCCTCACAGCACCCAACATGTATCCCTTCACCATGAATAGATTTGAAGTTTTCAAAACTATCATTAAACAGCGTCTCAGTCATCAGGCAGTGAATTCATAACCATTTCATGTAATAACTTTGTGAGGGAGCTTTTAGAGGTGGACGTCTGGTTCCTTTTACCACCACTGTGAACAATTCTGACTCGGTAAGTTTCTCTAGAACAGAGAATTTCACACCAAACCACTCTGAATGACTCTGTTTACATCCTAATCATTTGATTATGCAGAACATTTAGCCCCACCCACTCACACTGAGGTTATAAGAAGTGTTTCAGCCCGGACTGCTTTTTGAACAAGGCACAATACAGAGCGACCAATCAGAACGGAGCTCATTTACATATTTCGGTTAATCAGTCAGCCTTTCTTTAAACTTGGAGTACATTAGGGTGACCCTTATTAATAATGTAGCCAAGCATGATACAAAAAGATTGGAAAGAGTAAAACTATAAATCTGTAATAGTAAAAGTATATCAAAGGAAATGAAACAAGCCACAAATATTATTAAAACAGTATATAAGACAAATATAAAAGTTTAGGACACTTTGAGACAAATCACGAACTCAAGATCAACAAATCAGGACAAATAAAACTAATAGGCTAGTAATAAGGACAAATAAAATAACAACTGAGTAGGATGACAGGAAAGGCAGTAAAAAAGCAGGAGAAAGGAAGGTACTGGACCTTTAACGGTACATTTCCTTATTTTCTCTGAGGCCTGAAAGTAGAGCAGATCTGGTGTTAATGCAGCCGTTGCAACACATGCAGAGAAAACCAGCTGGGCTTAAACTGTTTTCCAGGAAAACAGCTCAAAGACAGGAAATCAAACTCTGGCGCTGTTCTCCGGCCTCGGGCAGGCTGAGTTCAGACCCCATTCCTGCGTTTTACACCAACGCACCTCATTTCCTCTCTCACACTGCAGCACAAATCACAAACACACAGAATCCCACAGTCTGGAGTCTGATTAGTTATTATTACTTAGTATTAATCACTATTACTTAATATCTAGTCCAAAAACTGCAGTCACGGCACTAATATTTCATTCCTGTTCATGTGATTGAGCTAGGCTAAGATTAGCAGTCTCCTGGCAGCGTGGATATCAGAGAGGAATTTTGGGATGTTTGCATTTTCCAGGAGTCACTTCTCCATTTATTTATTTCCATTCTAAATCTCATAATGTTCATTCTTCAATGCTTTGGAAGTTCTGTAGGTAAACATGGTTGTACCAGGAATGATTTTGCACCTGAATGACCAGACGTGTTTAACCAATGCTGTCATTTCAAAATAAAAGACTAAGATCAGAAGGGTGATGTCACCAAGCCTGGCATTAAAGTGACAGTTCAGCAAAAAACTAATTCCCCTAATCCAACCTGCCAAAAGGCATCAGCTAAAATATGTTTGCTTCTTAATCTTAGCACTGTAGCTAACAAGTGATGGAAGCTTATACCTCACCATTAGCATGGCAACATGCTAGCTTTTCACTTACCACTTACAGTAGCCTGTAGAGTTCTGTCAACCCCTCTGCCAATGACACATCTTCAAGGTGGAAGTAAACCTAAACACTTTGATAGGTGGCTGTTTTTTTCTAGGTAGAGATCTAACATTACTGAAAGTCAAATATCTTTTCTCAGTCTTTTCTCAGCACTCTCAATCATACAGCCATTGGGAATCCCTGTGGAGTCACCCAATCCTGAATACTAGCCTAGCCACTGAGCTACAGGCTAATAAATATAACCTCTGGGAATGTGTGATGTCACCCTGCTTCAAATGGTCTCGGTTTTATCAGAAAAATGAGTTTTTCGCCAGGAGGCACGTAATGTCCTTTGAAGTAGGATGATGAAGTCAGGTACATGGGAATTTCTGCTGCAGTGCAAACTGACCGAGTTGTGATGTTGACGCTTTTATCATGGCGGAGGATCGAAACAGTCAAACAACAGAAAGCAAATAGACATATAAGAGTTGCATATATTCTTAAATTTGCCTTTAAAGACACTTCCAAACAAACATGGTACTCACATATTATATATCCAAATGTTCAGAACAATCTCAGCTCTGTCTGTAATGAGGCCCTTTTGACCTGGAGCACTGTGTACAGAGATAATTCAGCCCTAAATCTGAAAAAAATAAAATCCAGTTTTAGAAATTCTTAATATCTCATGTAAAAACAGCTTTACTCATGTGGACGAAATGTTCTGGTGCTTGTAATGTGTTTACCAAAGTCTCAGGATCACAAAAGTGGTCGGATGTGAGAATAAAATAGTACATAAATGTTCTCCTCATCACTACTTTTCAAAACCACTGCAGCAACTTCAGCAGCTGTAAACTCTCTGCACGCCATTTCACATTCGTCTCTGATGTGGACTGAATGAAGAATGAAGGGTTTCTGGCGTGATGGTCAGTCCTTAGTGATTTCCTGAGTGTCCATCAATCTGTTTCACACAGAATGTAGACGGACACACAAATCCACCAGTTCCACACGGTGAGAGG